GTCGATGATTCGCAAACTAGAATGAAACAGTTGGCTGTCCAGTGCTCCCTTGTTTTCATTGGTTCTCTAACTGATATCAATCCGTGAACAACTCATAAAAATAAAGGACTATTTTAAGTTTTCAGAAGCTGGGGGTGGTTTGTGATAATCTCTCACTGTTGTTGCCTGTTGTTATTTAGTAGGAAAACAATCCATCTTTGCATCTACAAATTTGATTAGAAATAAAAACAATCACAATGTGATCAGTTTAATCAAAGAACTACCACAACCATTTGGGATAAAAGTTTGATGGTTGGTTCATTGCTCTGCTTTCCATATCCCTTCAGGTAATCCTCAGAAAATCTATTAAAATCTGACGCTGGCAACAATTTAACCAAACGGGATGTTTATTTCAATCCTTAACGTTGAATAACGCTCAGAATACAGATAATCAATCATTCTGAGGGTCAATTACGTGAAATGCTTTGGATTTTAATATGGCTAACAACAATTTAGACTTAATCCTCATCATCACTGATATTTAACTTCCTTCCATATATCTCGCCTTATATAACTTCCTATTCTTACTGACCAATTATTTGATGAAACTACCTCATTCAGACACATGCTGATGGAATTAGATGGTTGGAGGCAATCGGCAGGAAGCCTTGGACCTAGGTTTTGTGCTAGTTGGCACTCATCAGCAACGCGTATCTGCAAACTTGATGATGGAATTCAACCCTGCTGATGGAATTCAGAATTTCTAAAATACCCTTCATTGACAGAAGCGTTTCTCATTTCCGTCTTTTTAGATACGAATCACTACCTTTAAACTGATTTGAATACAGCTATCTGATAATAGTAACGAGTGGGATAGTGACATAAGCTGAAAACGTGATTTACTGCATCGGATTGTCGTAAAAAATAGGTTCTGAGTGATTGAATTAGGGCCTGTTTTACTCTTTGAAGTAAAGCCATTTATTTATGTCCAAACCAAGTTCACTTTTAACGGTTTGAAAAACTTTGGGCATTGGGTATATGATGTTCATTATAATAAAGGCTTTTTTTTATATTTCCCAATGAATGAAAAACAAAACGACATGAGATTATAATAAAGCCGTTTATATTTGCTGTCATCTGTGTACCCACTAAAAAAGACTTCATTTCAAAACAGTGAATAAAATTCTAACCTCTGTATTCGCCTTCTTATTACTTATGCGTTATGTTTGCTGAGAAGTTCTGAGCTCAAGTATTAGTTACAAAGATGAAAAAAATATAAAAAATTTTGTATTCTGACAGTCTAGTGTAATTTCAGAGCTAAATAAGCATATCGATCTGTTAATAATCTCAAGGCATTGTGTTATTTTGAAATGAATTAGTTTGGAAGACTAACAGTAATCACAAAACGGATTAAATTATCCACAAAATCTGTATGCTGATCTGCATTGTATGGAAAAGTGATGATTTCTTATGTTTTACGAGTTGATCACGGATTGATATCACTCAAAGAACCATTGAAAACCAGGAAGTACTGGACAGCTGCTGTTTCATCCTAGTTTACGAATCATCGACAGTAGGCAACCACCAATAGGGTTCGAACCCAGGACCTTTCAGTTACAAGACAAGCAAGCTCGAATACCATTCAGCCACTGGGACCCTACTCAATGACCAATGCATGAATTCTAACTTCTACCAATTCGTGATTTAGCGCGATCTTAACCATTGTCGTTGGTGGGACATCCATCCACACACGTGACATCTAACTGGACCTCACTGGTCACGACTTCTCACTAGAAATCAGGAAACTTTAATCTGTAGCAAGTCACTAGTGAGCATCAGATTAACTTTATATACAAGCTTGCCTTGTAACTGGAAGGTCCTGGGTTCGGATCCCAGTGTGTGCGTACTGCCGATGATTCGCAAACTAGGATGAAACAGCAGCTGTTCAGTACTCCCTTGGTTTTCAATGGTTCTCTAACTGATATCAATCCATAATCAACTCGTAAAACATAATTAATCCTTTTAATCCAAACTATAGAAAGATGATTTCTTAGTCTCATTTCATTGGATCGTGAAGCCAATGATTACAGGCTATAGACTATATACTACACAACTAATTTTTATGATGTGTCCACAGTTAAAGACTCCTGTCACTTCACTTTTATAATTATAATATATAGAATACTGATAATTTCAGTTCATGGATAACTCCAATCCAGGCATTCAAGAAAACAAAACACGTAGTACAGCGAAGAGTCTCTTTTCGGCGGCGAATTCATTTTCTTAGCTGTACAAATCGCAAATATATATGTGTGTTACCTTGTATGTATGATTACATTAAGTTTGTCAAACAAACATACAATTGGTTATGGTTATTTTAACTAAACAGGTGAAGACTGCTGATTGGAGTTGCGTAATACAAAATCAGTCAAGAAAATTAGGTGTTAATGAAATTAGGGTAGTAAAAAAGGTGATGAGTTTTCACACAAAATTTCTAAAAAGGAGTATGTAATAATATAAATAGTTTGATGATTGTGTTGTGCTCAGGATACACACAAAGGTTAACTAACAGGATTCTATAGCTGGATATCCATTCAACAAAAGCGGAATTTAATCGAATCACTTGCCACCCGTTCCGATGTTCTGGAAACAGAATTACATATTCTGAGAGAAATCTTCATCAAAAGTAGATATCTAATAAGATCCATCGACAAAAATATAAAACCAATAACTCAGGGAAAAGCAACTTTTTTTAGGCCTAAAAGAAACTCTAAATGAACTTGGATTTCAAGGGAGGTTTAACAAGCAATATTCTCAAGAGAAGGATCACATCATCTCTGAGAACAGCATTCTTTGCAGCAACTCTAAGAATATTGTTCTCCAGTCGCCCGATGATATGCAGAAGCCTCAAGGACAAGATCCCGCATCTGACCACTTCTATGTGCATGTATCAGTTCACCCGCTGCTGTGGAGCCAGCCAGGTATGTCGGTCGTTCGACGAGCACTTTGTCCAAGAGGATTCAAGAACACTATCCAACATGGTTGCGAAAAGGTAATAGTGGTGCAATAAGGAGTGCGATAATTGAGCACCTGGTTAACATAAATCATTCGATTTCAACAAACGCCTCCTTCGAAGTAATCGAAAGGGTCAAGAATAACCTATCAAAGGCAATACGGTTTCGTCTTCTTTGTATCGCTGAAGCTCTGGCCATTCACATAGAAAAATCGGAGCTGTGCATACAAACGAAGATTAGTCAACCACTTCTACTGTCTTAGTAACAACATTTTTAAAAACTTGATTTGAGTTTTTTGATTTTGATAACTTAATTTTGTTTGTTTACCTATTCTTTAATTGCTTATAATTCCAGTATTCCTTTAAAACTCTTACGTAATTTCGTATTCTCCACTTTGTTTCTATGTGCATCCTGAGTAGAACTCACTCATCAAACTATCCATATTATTACATACTCCTTTTTAGAAATTTTGTGTGAAAACTCATCACCTTTTTTACTACCCTAATTTCATTAACACCTAATTTTCTTGACTGATTTTGTATTACGCAACTCCAATCAGCAGTCTTCACCTGTTTAGTTAAAATAACCATAACCAATTGTATGTTTGTTTGACAAACTTAATGTAATCATACATACAAGATAACACACATATATATTTGCGATTTGTACAGCTAAGAAAATGAATTCGCCGCCGAAAAGAGACTCTTCCCTGCACTATTGATGATTTCTCCTTAAATTCTCTGATCTTTCTATTATTTGGTATGTCTGTTGATGCGCTAATTTCAAGCACATAAATTTGATCTAATTTCTAACGAGTATACAATTGGTGGATGGTGGCTAGCAGTGGAATCCAGGATGCGCATTTCGTCCTATTTGGGACTCGTCCACCAGACATCGTCGAAGCATCTGCACAAGAAGCCGATATGTCAACCTGAGACCGAGCACTTCGGTCCAATCAGTCGACAGGAAAATCAGAAAAATTCAACTCAATAATTTCTAACGATATCAAATTTCACTCTGTTTATATATTTTCCATTTGAAGGAGTATAAGCATTAGCCAATCCACAAGACTCGCACAGTATTCTTATCTTCCCCAAATACTGCAATACTTTGCCATCAGGAATATTTGAATTTTGAAAGAAGGGCGAAAATTAAAGTAGAGTTATGCAGTTCGTAGTGCTTTCATTTTCAAACAAATTGATCACTACTAAAAAATTCATATTAGATAGTTGGAGGCAATCGGCAGGAAGCCTTGCTCAACCTAGGCACTGACTCGTCAGCAAGGCGTATCGGCAACCTCGATGGAACTCGTGTCCCTTCTGAGATTCGAACCCGCGTCACTCAGTGCTTCAGTCACAGACGTTACCGCTGAGCAATTCAGGACTGTATTAGATATTTTTGATTAGACACTAGCCAGTAACTAGCGTAATGTGTGTGTCTAGTCCTATCTCTGGTGCAGACTGAATTATGTCAGTCTAGTGTGCCGTGTGGCCACCATTCTAGGTAGCTAGCCATCACGGTGAACTGTGAGTTGTTGGTATTTGTTATCTTTTGGAACGCATATGCTGCCATAGGAGTTTCACTCTATGGACAGTTACTTGTCTTCACCTTAAATTAAAAAAAAATATTAGATACGTCTATAGAACAGGTCAATATTAATGACAATAGCTTCTTAAACGCAGTTAAAAGTTGAAAATATGAGTGCTTTCGTATCCTTACAGCTGATGGGCTAATCAAATGAAACCAACTGTGAGGTCATCATTGGTGTTATTGCCTTTAATAAAAATGATCACCTGACTAGCGTTTATAACAGTAAAGAGAACAATATAAAAGCAAGAACCTTTTGAATGCACCAACAAATACTAATAAATATTCAGGGCTTTCAGCGCTGATCTGCAATTTACAAATTTTCTTGTAAATAGGATAAATGCATCTCTAGTTAATGAGTACAAGGTGAATAAGTGTGAAAGACAACTGTCAGTCTGAAGAGAGAGATAGTGTCTGGATATGCTGACCAGTAGACAATCTACTATGGAGAACACCAGGTCTTTTGATTATCAGAAATCAGAAGACAACTTGCTTTTTCAGCCTACTAGTCGGTCATGCTACAATTTCGAGTCCAACAACGAATTACCTCATCATTATACACAGTACAAACGAAAGTCTGTCGATTGGACTGCAGATTTCGAAAATGAACAGACTAGTCAAAGCGCTAGAAATAAATCTGTTAAACATCTACTGAAAACTATGCGCAGCAAGATGAATAAGCATGGTCAGTCTAAATTAAAAATGAGTTCACCGTCGACCAGTAAACTTTGCGGTCATAGTTACAGTACAGTACAAAATTTCGATGGAGGAAAGCACAGAGATAACATATTCCTTCCAAAGTGTGATGTGAATTCCTCTAATACGCCCTCGGAGAAAGATGAACCTATCCAATGGAAAAAGTTTGAAAATTTTGCCAAAATCTTTGGAAACAAAAGGAAAGGGAAAAAACGGCTGGATAGTCATGTGGAATTCGGTAAACACAATAACAGCACTTCGGAATTCGGCACAGAAGTTTTGCCTTATTTTCAAAGAACCAGTGAAAAGCATGATACAGTGAGTTACACATTTTTAAAAATACATTGCTAGTTTATGTAAATGAGTTGTTTATCCCCTGGTCGAATCCTTGTCAACCATGCATTTATTCTGGGTTCGATTCCTGGCCGATGCACTACTAAACCTCGCATAGCTGCTAGTGAGCCCGGAGACTTGAACCCTCGGGAAGACGACATTACTACTACTGAAACTTAAAAGCTCTGGTTTGAAGTCTTTCGTTTCACTAGGAATGCAAAGGAAATAACCAAATGATAAAGGATATTTTACTTAAACGAACTCTCTATTATGTGCCTACTGGTTTGTAGCTCGTCTAAGTCTCTCCTGTAAAACGATGTATATAATTTAGCGGTTGATTTTGTAGAATAAGAATGCTGTCACTTAGGTGACTGAATAACATGTATTCATCTATTTCAAATCCTTGTGATAGATCAAACTTTGTCTTTTTCATGAATTTTAAGCGCTTATGTCCAAATGGACACAGATTCTTTTGGTGTTCATGTGTTTTTGAAGTTAGACAGTTTAACTGCGAAGGCTTCATTCCTCTTCTAAACAACATCTTCAGTGCTAATTTCAAAAGGGATTCTTTATGAATGAAAAAAGTGCCTTTTGTAATGATTTAGTTCGTAAGTGATCGTCTCTGCAACTTTTCTTATCACTGAGTTCACTTGGAATTGACAATGATCAAGTAGTTGACCTGGTTGTTGTCTTTTTGGTAGTGCATTTGGATCTTCACTGCCTGATAGACCTGACCTACATCCGCATACTTATTAACTGCAGTCTGATATAAGTTGCAGGCTTTTAGGACTCTGTGGTGCTTTCTAAGTTGTCTCTGTTTAATGTCTCTACATTTTTCAAGCGAAGTAATATCAGTGGTTGTCCACATACACTGACGTCGGAGAATGCACTTCATTTCTTCTGATTCTATATTGATCGTGTTGTGAATGTAGGAGATTTCAGTAGCAGTAGTAGAGAAGAGCTGACTTTGCACTTCGGTGACACAGCGGTAGAATGCTCGCCAACCACGCCTCATATGGTCCGGGGTTCGATCCCCTGCCATCAACGCACTCCTTTACCTCCAAAAGCTAGTAAACAGGCTGCTAAAGAGGAAAGGTTAGGCATGAGGCTAGCAACCCCATCCTGTAAAAACAAACTCTACTGCTACAGAAACTTCAAGTCTGTAGCTTGAAGGAATTGTTTATTCAGTTCTTTATTGACGCTTTATGAGATAGTTTTCAAATCTCCTGTATAAAAATTGCTTGGAAACAATAATTTATCATAAATATATGCATATATTATTTCGATTTAAAAATTACGCCCTTTATTATATTTCTTAAAATCGATCTGATGCAAATATGTTTAGTAAGTGTTTAGTGAATTTTATGCAAATATTTTTCAGTATAAATGGTGTGGTAATGAATAAATAGATAGGAAGAATGGAATTTACACATTTTTAGTTTCCCTTGAAGTCCCTGTATTTATCAGTGATTTAGGCTAGTCTACAAGAATCCTTACCAGCGTAGACCCTTTTTGTTTGTATGTTAACAGACACAAGAACCAAACCAATCATCTTGATGCAACTGGCAATAAAATAAATTGCTTTACAGTTTAGTATCATTTATGTTTGTGAACGGATTGTTCAATCCTTTGAGAAACTTCCCTCAGGAAGTGACAGCCACACGATCCGTTGGCTAAAGTATGTGAGGGGATTGCTGTGATAAAACCAAGTTCACCATTCGCATATTTAAGCTTATGTTTATAACGGCTAGGAGTAAAATCTACAATGGGCATCTTTCCCTGTTAAGGATTAACCGACTGGAGACTCTTACTTCGTATTAAGCGATAGTATTCTCTCTGAGACTCGAACTAAGCATTCATCACTTCAAAATATGAGACCTTATTCCCTAGACGGGTGAGCTAGGGTAGACGTCTGTTGTGCAGTAAGTGTTAGCTGTTAATTACTTTCCCCATTCTGAATTTCTTGATGACTAATTTTATTGAATAAAATACGTGATCTTTGTAAGGGTTCTTAGTGAGAATTCACCGAAATACAGCTCTTTGCAGGTGATAAGTGTCAAATAGAGCGAGGTACCCTTCCTTGATTCCACTGTGAACTGTGCGACAAACTAAGTAGCACCGTTTCAGCCTCATGTCATGATCAAAACGGTTGTAATAGGAGGCCGTTTCGATCTAACCGATCAACAGGAGATTCAAAATAACGTTCATAAATTACTTCAAACCTGACTACAAATATATTACATATATAAAGTTAACTTCACTCTATAGCATTCATTATATGTATCTAAGTACTTACCTTAAACAAGTTACTTTTCGAGACCCACATGATCATCTTATCGAGGTGATTGACTGAAATATTTTAGTGGTCTGGCAGGCGACAGTGTGGCGTTTCAAACTATGAATCTGGGGTGGGATCACCAGCAGTCACTGGGGAGCCAGGTGCATCTAGGTGACGAGTGTCTGGCTGGCTGCTTGGTTTCAGCACAGAACTTTGCACCGATGTGCAGCAGTTTGAGCCGCCACACTCAGTGTAGCACATAAAGCAAGAGAAGAAAGTAAAAAGAAATGCGAAATAGAGACAGAAGACAGGGATATAAGGCAAAAAGAATAGTGATAGTAATATCAAAGAACCATATAGTTTTATTGGGTATTATAAGTCACATGGAGTCGATGAATTCGCACCATCACCGAGAACGATTTTGAGCCAGCCATGTCACCAACTGCCTCCAACCTCCATTGGGTTTTACCGTCCTGAGGACCCCACCCAGTCAAGAAGCCAGTGTACACCTCCCTACTTGGCTGGCTTAAAATAACTGTTGTGGATTTTATTGACTGATTCAGCTATGTTTTGGTTTGAACAACACTATCGACTCTTTTCCAGCCTGACCCTATGTCAGCTAACATTGCTTTGCGAGGAAGGCGATGGGTAGGCATGCATAACACATGTGATGGCCGTCTCAAGCTGTGTGACTTCACAGCCTCGTTGATTCATTTACCCTCCCTAATCAATATTGCTCACCCTATTATACCCCTTCAAACGGGAGATGGAACGCAGGCACCTATGATCAAAGACAGTTAGCCTTTTCGTATCTTCCACTCTTAATGGACAGGTCTCACAGCCAGCCATAAGGGAGAACGGAGCGGACTGATGAGCAGTACACACGTCCTTTGGTCGACAGTCAGCCGGATATCACGTCTGCGCCAGAAACGGCGTAAACTGGCATATGCGAAACGAACCTTCTGAAGAGATGACGAATAGCAGATAGGATGAAGTATGCATCCTGGATTTCTCTGCTAGTCACCACAAACCGAAACAATTGTGAATAATTTACAATATATGTTCATATTCGTAGAAATGGTGAAATGTCGGTGCCATGTGTAGAAACACACCTTTGCCTAACAAAATAAAATACTGTAATATTACTTAATTTTTAGGACAATGTACTAATGCATTTCCTAGTTGGATTGTTCTTTCGAGCAAACTGTTTCAAATTGTAACCAAAAGGGTTAATGTCGATAACCAGAAGTTTTGCGAGTTCAAAAAGAATTTATTTTAGCGAATCGTTCAAAAATTAGATTTAAAATTACTGATAGACAAAGAAAAAAGGATTATAATAGTTTTAGTACTACTTTAATCTACTTAGGTTTCTGCTGTTGAATAAAAAGACAGTGTCGGTGAGTTTAAGCTTTCAATTTTAAAATGAACCTTCAGTACAAATTTACTAGACTTTTTGTAGACGGAAATCTGAATAAATTTTTGCTAATATTAAGCTAATATGTACCGATGACATTTTGTTGAAATACACTATCAATACAAAAGCTTTGATGCAGATAATGGTCTCGGAGTCAGAAGCGATAGTGTTTATGAAAGTAAACCACTCTGCAAATTCACCAGTTGTTCAGTTATTTAAAAAATAGCTTGCCTGAAAACAATGTAAAGAAACAAAGCGCTATTCAACATCAAAGTTAGCACCCACAGATATACGAATAACACAAGTAAATCAACAGACTTTACATAAAGTTGTTGTTGACTCAAATAGTCAGTGAAGCCGTTTTCACTTACTAATGTTGACTTACTGTGGAGATCTGATAACACCATTCACTTATTTCTTTAGGGTTAGAATTTTGTCCGAAAAACGCGTTTTAGCGGAACAGTGAGGAAGTGTGTCCAGAAGTAACACTCAAAACTTGCTGTACCTCATTATACCCACTGTTGGCTCCCAGAAAAAAGCTTAGAAACTGAAGACAACTTTGTTTTTTCCAGTAATCGATTGAATATATATGACTTTCAGGACTCTTAAGGCTTTAGAAGTCAAATTATAAGAGTTCCTCAACTCACAACTGCTGTTTCCACTAACAAAAGACCCTTGACGAAATCTGAAAAGTGCTGGATCGATGTACTGATAATTTAAAAAGAAGGAATGTAATTAGATTAGAGGCGTACACTAGTTCCCCTGTAAAAGATGCTTTTCTGAAGCTTGTCCTTTTTAAAAGGATTGATTAGTAAAGAAAGAATATTCTTTTTGATAAATGCGTCATCAGGTTCTACATATATATGACCATGATAATTAAAGAATTATTGTTTTGCATTACATCAAAGCAATGGTATTAACAGATTACATTTCGAAAGCATTAGTAAGAGGAGGATAATATGTATTAATATGACACTACACTGAATATCATACAAATTAAGGGAATTTATGAATTTGTGGGTTCCACAGTAGGCCAAGGTGGCAGTATTGGCTGGACCTCTCTTTTTTTCATACATACTTCTAGTTGATTTGAGCGAATAGCCATGGCCTCTGCTGTTTGGAGTGTTCGGTATCTACCAGAGGTCTTCGGTAATTTATTCTATGCCCGATAGATGATAGAGGAAAACTCTTCAATGCTAGTTAGCTAGCTGGTGATGTGTCCTGTTTGGACGAGTTGATCCAATATAGAAGCGTTAATTGTTTTAACAGCACATTTAATTAGCCATACTGGCA